GGTATAAGTTATGGCTATCTATATATAATGATTTAGAAATATCTAAAAAACCTAAACGGCTCATCTCAACTCCAATCTAGAAGGGACTGCTACAGTAAATACATTTTCAAAACTCCAGGACTGAACTCTGCTCTCCCACAGCTATAAATCAAGAGTAACTTCACTGAAATCAACAGAGCCACTCAGCGTTAATGACAACATAAATGAGATCAGAATCTAGCCCCAGATGTTATTCCCCTTTAAATAATGTTTCATTCTTTTGGACTAGGTCAGTAATAAGTTACAGGACGCAACATGGCAAAAGAGGTATGCAAGATATTGCCCTGTTTATTATCAATTTACAAGGAATCCTTTCATAAATTACTGTGTAGTAAAATTCTTTATTCTTTTAATTATATTTTATAGTACTAACATGCATCTCTAAAATGAATTGGATATATATATATATATATATATATATATATATATATATAGTGCCTGTAAGTAGGTAAAATGAGGATTTTACTGTTTGGAATTAACACATGCTTTCAGCAGAAGTAAAATTCTGTACTTTGTGCTTTGGATACCTCGTTAGCAAGCACAAAAAGTCTCTCTTTTTCTACACAGACAGTTGGGATCAGAGCTAGTAACTTACCTAATCTTACACCACTTGTTCTATTAGAATTGTTGCTTAGTCCTATCTGACCTTGAAATGTAATTGGCTGCCATGTGTGTCTCAGTGGTAAATGCCATTAGGAAGATAAAAATATATGGGATTAAAATCTAAACTGATAAGGCTAAGAAATTAAGCAACACTGCTTTAATAACCCTACTTTATGAAAGTAAGTGAAAGCTGAGATATCTTCTTACTGATTACTACTGAAGTGTGTATAAATTTCAAACCAGGGAATCAAATTTCAAAATGCTGAACAATTTCTTCGTTTTATTCTTTGTTAGAAAATTATGACAAATTGATATTTTAAAGTAATCATGTTTTTAAAAAAGATTTCAATGTATACTATTTTAGCATCAGCTGTTAAAATTTCATCAAGATTATTCCTTTGTCAAATTCAATTAAAAATTCATCTTAAAATGTGTCACTTTTTATACAATGTACTACTCTCTAATTTTGTACATGCTTTTGTGTTGGGTTAATTTATAAATGATATGTATTTAGCGAGTGTGGCAGGACATGATATTTCAGTTATATATCTTTAATGAAAAGAATGATCTTGCAGTACTCAAAAAAAGGGATTGTCTGAATCTAAGCAACTGAAGAAGAGAGACTACCTGCCAGTTAAAATATGTGGGACACAAGTACAAATTATTTTTCTGCCTGTGACATTAATCCTGAAGAGATGTAGGATTCAGACAACTAGCAACCAAAGCTTTTGATAAACAAAATAGATATTTAATTTTTAAAAATCTGAAAAGTAACATGACTTCTTAATACAAAATATTTCTATCACTTGTTACCGCAATAGTTCTGTATCATACTGCATGAAAATTCTTACTCCCCAAATCCAAGAAATATTTAAATATGCAACTATTCTTTGGATTGTTTTATTGACTTTCAGAATAACAATAATCTGAAGAGGAGTGAAAGCTATTGGAAAGAAAAAAGCAAGGGGTAGAGTAGAGGATGATTTGTAAATGGAATATAATATTTTATAGATTCAAACAATGCCAGAGGTTAAGAAAAGACTGGTGAACATTAATGTTCACTACTTTGTTGATCTTTTAAAAATTCTCTTCCCTCAGTGGGTCTAAAATAATCTCAGTAGCCAATACTAAAAAGGACTAAATAGTCAAGGCTGGGCACCTAGTTGGCCGTATTCCCTTCAAAAAAGTTATCAATGTAGGAGTTTTGAGCGCAGTAGTTGTCCTTGGGCCAAACAAGCTGAAGAAAATATCAACATTGTCAGAATTGAGGATGTTGTCCATTCTATTTTCTGCATAGATTCTCAAAAGACAAGTGACTCTTAATACATGAAATGTGAAATGTGGCATGCAATCTTTCAAAGATCCATTTCCTCCACATTCTTGGATTTCACCCTATCATGCGAGGGTAAAATCTCAGCCTGTTCCAGTGGATTACATTTATTCAATCTAGCCAGAATAAACCATAATCTCCCAATAGCCAACAACTGTTGGAGGTGTAAACAGCAGAATTATGACAATAAGATACACTACAGTGGAAAGGGCTATATGAATTTTTGTTTAATAAAAAAAAAACAAGCTTGGAAATAGGAAATGGTATCCTCCAACTAATAGAATACATTATTCTAAAGGAAAGGGTCACCTTCGTTTCTGAAGACTAGAAAACAAAATCCTCCATTGTAGTGACCAAACAGATCTTAGAAAGAGGACATTTTAATTGCTTTCTTACTATAAAAAGCTAGGAAGTAATCTATTAAGTTTGGTTACATACATGTAGGAGTATATAAGGCAACTTGCAACTAATTCCGATGAAGACTTCAAATTATAAGAATAGCTACGGTGAGCTACTACTTCTCTTCTGGCCCCTTCCCTAGCATCCACCACTCTAAAGAAAACCCCACATTCTTGACCTGACACCTCTCCCTAACTACCATTTCCATTCCCCCCTTTCACCTCTAAGCTCTTGACTAGGCCATTTATAACTGCTGCTTTAAATGACACTATCTATTTATATTTGGTCCAATTTTTTAAAAAACCCTTTATAAACCCCAAGAGTAATAGAATGGTTTTCATAGTGTATATAAATATATAAAAAAATCCAATGCCCTCTGTTCCATCTTCATTCTCTTTGACCCCTTTACTACCTCTTATATTGTTGATTACTCTCTCGTCTATTGGTTTTCATAGCCTATATTCTTGGTTTTCTTCCAACCTCTTGACTTCTCTTCTTTCACAGTTCATCTTCCTCCCCTCTCTGTTGGATTCTCACAATACTCTGTTGTTGGCCCCCTCCTTTTCACCTTATCACTGAGCAATCTCATGGTTAATCACATACTCATTATGCCAATGACTCTCAAACCTATATCTGCATACCTCACCTTTCTTTTTTTGTCCAGTTCCAAATACATAACCATCTCTCCAAAATATCCTGGCTTGTTTGTTGTCAGCTCAAGATTAACACATCCAACACTGAGCTCTATTTTTCTTCCTAAACCTCTCCCACTTCATCACAAGTGACACCCCTATTTTCCCTATCACTCACATTTGCAACATCGTGTTACATCTTTCTCCACAATGTATTGAACCAACCCTTTCTTTCTGACCTGAAGGTATAATAGTTGTCATGCTCTGCTACCTTTTGGCTTGTCCAAAATGTAATTGCAAAAATTATAGATTATGACACTTCTCTGAATACCTCTACTAGCTCTTACTAGTTAACATCAAGTTTAAACTTCATACCCTTATCTTAAAGTACCTGTTCAGCTCCATTCTAGCCTACATACAATATATGGTAGTGGTAAATTCTCCATCACATTTAAATCAAGATTAGATCCCTTTCTAAAAAATACGCTCTAGTTTGACCACAAGCTATTTGGCTTGATGTAGAAATTATTTGGAGAAAGATTATGTTTTGTGATATGCAGGAGGTCAGACTAGATCATCACAATGGTCTGTTCTGGCTTTAATCTATTATTCTGATTTCTGTTCATATTCGTTCTCCACTCCTTCATTTTGGCAAAATTGTAGTCTTGACGTTCATTTCCTTTTATTTTCCCCTTGTTATCCCTTATGCAACGGACAGCTTCTAAATCCTAATGAGACAGGGCCCCTACTCCTTTTACTCACTCCAATGTATGCTAAACTGAGTCAAATGCTTTCTCCGCCCAAAGTTACATTTGAGGAGAGAGTGAGATCAGAATAACTAATTTTTAAAAGTCTATATTGACTACCTGTCTGGGGGCATGGCTACACTTGCAGATGAAAAGCGCTGTAAGTTAAACCAGCCCTCGGAGAGCGCAGTCGGGAAAGCGCTGCAGTGTGTTCACACTGTCAGATTCAAGCGCACTGGCATGGCCACATTAGCAGCTCTTGCAACGCCACAGAGAGCAATGCATTGTGGTAGCTATCCCAGCATGCATGTGGCTGCAACGTGCTTTTCAAATGGGGGGGATGGGGTGGAGTGTGACAGGGAGTGTGTTGTGTGTATGTGGGGGGAGAGAGAATGGGTTTTTGGGGGGCTGAGAGCATGTCAGCATGCTGTCGTGTAAGTTCAGACAGCAGCAGACCCCCCTCTCCCCCGTCTCTCTCTCTCTCTCTCTCTCTCTCACACACACACTCACAGCAAGCAGCATTCCACACTAATGGCAAATAAGCATGCCGGCTGTCAGAAATGGAGCTTTGAAAGGGCATATCCACATTCCTACAGCCGAGTTAAAAAAAAATAACAAGAGTGGACACTTGACTTAAGGGGATTATGGGACTTTTCCGGAGGCAGATCAAAGCGCAGTAATGCAACACCCCGTTCACACTGACGCTGGGGCATTTCAGCCGAGGCGCAGCAAGCGTTATGCTTCCCGTGGAGGTGGATTACCAGGAACGCTCCAGCTGCAGAGTCCAGGCGCTCCAGCTGCAGAGTCCAGTGTGGACAGGTCATGAGTTAGGGAGCCTGGGGCTGCTTTAATGCGCTCTAACTTGCAAGTGTAGCCAAGCCCTCAGTGTCATCCTCTCTTTTAGATTATAAACTCAAGACAGGGACTGTCTTGATTTGTATCTTGTACAGGAACAAATTAATTGTCAATGCTTAACAAATAAATAGTGATAATATTTTCCAGTGCACATATGCCACTCCCAATATTAAAAATGGACGCTACACCCTACAAGACCTCATCATAAAAGGTAATAGTTATCTCCTAATCAACCTCAACTCTCATTGGATTGAGTAATCCTTATTCCTGCAAACAGTCCCATTTACTTTCATGGGATTATTCATGAGAGTACTTGTGAGGGTTGCCAATGTTAGCCCATGCACTTGAGAGAACAGAACTTGTGTTTGCCTCTATTTAGAAGCAATATTGTCCTACCTTTACAGCTTCACTTAGGGTTTGGTTTTTGTCCGCTTCTTCACTTGAGTGCAATTCCAGTTTATAATTTAACTCCTGTAGCTGTTGTGCCTGCTCATTCAAAAGCATTTGTGCCTGCTGCTCTCGATGTAATGCATTATTCAGTTCTTCACATGCACTTTCAAACCTCTCATGGGTGATCAATTTCTGATAAAGGAAATAAATTGTGTTCTATCATGGAATAACTCCATTGTCTATCCACTTCACTTTTAGAATTCCACTTGCTAATACACAACATTCTAATGCAAAAAGTTTTTAAATGCTCAATATCTGCCCAAGAGACCTTTTTTCCTAAAGTGAAGATCATTGCAAAACATTGTTAAATTACTTTATTCATTGTATTTTCTTAAGAAAATCTGTAGTGTATTTACAAAGTATACTGAAAATTTTTGTGTGTGATTCCAAAACAGATCAAAGAGGACACATCTCAATTGTTAAAAAAAAGTGTTTACTAAAGGAGGGAATTTGCAGCTGAGTATTTCTGCATTTCAGTACAAACCCTGTTAACCCCTTATAAATTCCTGTGTGGACCTGCTTCTCACAGAGTGCTCCAGAAGACAAAGAAAGGAAGTGTCTCCTGAGGGACAGCATTTAACTGACAATCTAAAAAGTGACAATTTAATCTGACAATTTAAGAAAGTGTAAGGGAAAAAAGCCTGTTAAAAACAAAACTGAAGACATGAGATACACTTGTTCAACTGTTCTACCTGCTGGAGACAGTAAGCACAATGGACAGACCCTTGATGTGGGAAAATTAAGTTACAGAACACTTTGATCTCCTATCTCCACTGTTCGATGCAGCACTACATTAATACACAATAGGGAACTTTTAGTTCGTGACAGCAGGGTTCACACAGCCCAGTTAGTGCAGGACACGTTGGTGTGCTTAAAAAATCATACCTCCTTTGTGCACATGATTGTTAGGTGTTGATGAGTCCTCAGAAAATAAATCCATCACAATTTGTGGAAGCTACTACACATCCCCAAAACAGGATGTTTCTACACACACCAGGGAAGCTACAAAGCACTCATATAACTGTTCATTCCCTTTTCCTGGATGAAGATTGACTTGATCTGAATGCCCACTACAGAAATGAGCTCAGAGTTTTGTTAGGGGAGGCGGTGAAGATGCCCAGTACATCTCCAACCTCCTAGAGGAGAATGAATTACTCCCTGCCAGCTGTGGAGAGTCTGCCACGTGGTTACAATGGAGAACAGCCTCTGATCTGCAATGAGGACGCATCAGTCTGAAAAAACCTCCATTCCCTGCACAGTCAAGAGACGATGGAGGATACAGCCCTTGAAGTAATTCTATCGATCCTGTACTAGACAGTTTGGGTTTTTTTAAAAAGTAAAGGGACCTGTTTTTAGTCCCTCCCTTTCATCCCTACCAGCTGTAGCTGTGCAGTGATCAACGCAGCCTTATGGCTGTAGTAAATCCAGTGGCTCCAGGAAGAGGCACAGAGAGAGGGTTTGGCAAATACAGCCTGCTGGGGATGTGGTAAAATCATCTGCATAAATTCTCTCCCACAAGAGACAAACTATTCTCAAGATTGCACTTATTGACACAAACTAGCTTCAGGACTTGACCCATAACAAAAGATACAGTAAAGAGGTGTTTCAGAATATGGAGCAAGGGTAAAACAGAGCTTAAAATATTGTGTTTATGTTGTACAATGTTGTCATGAATGTACCATACTTATTAAAAATGCATGACTGCCCTATTTGAGGGAACATATAGAAGTCCTGTATGGTGTGTAAATCAGAAATGAACATTTTCAGCATGTGAAAGAAAAATTGGGTCTGTCAAACAGCAAACGTGTAATTCACCCAAAATATCTCATTCTGAAAAATAAAAAAACTCCTATGGAAAAAAGTCACTTTTTAATACATCTAGCTTGCAGCTTGGTGACATTCACGGGGCAAGTTTTCTGGAAAATTCTGTTAATAATTGGATTTATACTTATTTTTCTAAAGAACACAAATCAAAAATATGTAAAAGGAGGCTTTCCTTTAAGCCAGTCTTTTCTAAATTAAATATACTTACAGATTGCTTAAATGCATTTAATTGCTCTTGCAGGCTCTGGGCTTTGTCAGCCTCTTTTTTCATCTCATTCAAATTCCGTTTGAATTCTGTGAGTTCTAAGCGTAGTGAACGGCGTTCCACTTCTGCTGTATGCAGCCTTTGTGTAAATTCAAATATTTGCTTCTGCAAGGATGCTATGCTTTTCTGTTAGTAAACGGAAATAATTTTATGTGCTATAAAATGTGCTATTTTAGCAATAAATCAATAGCATTTAATACCCAAGCAAATTAAATGAAGCTTTCATTCTGCACGCATTCACCAACACACACACACACACACACACACACAGAGCACTGTTTCACCTGCTGTTGTGGGTCACTGAAAAAATCCTAAATACATACATACATAGAATAGATATTTGGGGAGAAGAAGTTTAACTGAGTTTTTGCAAAAACATAACATGTATTTTGCATTACCAAAGTACACTGGAAGAAGAGAAGGCGGAAAAAAAATTAACAAAATCATTAATGTTAACTTCAAAAGGGGTTACAGGATGTCCTTACAAAGAAAATTCCATTTTGATAGTATTTAGAAGAGAAAAATTATTTCAAGCTTAATACAACCAAATCTCTTGCCTTACAATTCTTTAATTTTATATTAAAAGATGTAACCGATTCAGGGCCCAATCTTTTCAGGTGTAAATCACCATTTAATTTTGTATACGACTTAGTTAAATTAAAGTCAGCTGTGAAGCACAACCTGAAAATGAAATTAGCATCATAACTATTTTGAAAGCTCTACTATCATTATTCTGTGAAATTTTATATATATATATAAATCAGCAAGAAATACACATACCGTAATGGGTATTCTATCACCTAGTCCAGCTTTTAGTGCCTGTGCATTTATTTTATGAAGTCCACGAGCCAGTCTTTGAACCAAGGAGTCCTTCTCTACATATGTGATGGTCCTGCTGCTATCCACTGCTATAGTCTCCATTAGCACATTAAGTCTGTCCATGAGTTTTGAAAAAGAATTCCTGGCTGCACTTATGAGTAAGTGTCCACAAAGCCAGGAATTTGGATCTTTAAGAAAAAAAAAGAAAAAAGAAATACATATTAAAAAAGTGGGTTCTTTCTTATTCTCATTTTACAAAAACATATATATGTCTGAATAAGATTGTTGGGAATGTTGCCATTGAACTAAGGGAGGAAGACTCAGCTCATTGGGCTTGAGCCTGACGTCCTTACTCAGACTATGCTCTTATTCCAATCAAAAGGAGTCTTCCCCAAGTAGAGAATTTGGGCCAAATTCTACCTTCAGATAGAACGTGTTGCTTCTTCTGACTACCACTGGAGTTATATGTACAAACATAGGTGCAGAATTTGGCCCAATAAAAATAACTGTTTTGTTAATATATAATTTTTCAAATAATTCTATGTTCTCCTCCAATACTGTATTTTAAGTCCTTTTTCTTGTATAGCCCAACCTCTGGATTAATAAAATGCAAAAGTTTCTGATGCACGCAAACTACATACTGTGTGACAAATATCTTTGCATGTGTTCACACATTTGACAGCAGAAGGTAAATCACTTTATTGCAATATTTAAAATGCAAATTTAGGACTGTTTTTCTTCTTTTTTTCAGCATAGTTGTCTAAATAATTTGCTGTTTAAAACTAGTGAGGCTTGGTACCTTAATGCCATACTATTTATATTCTAAGACAAGAGAATATAATTTACCTTATTCCAAGGCAATTAAAATTTTACAGCTACAATTACTTATTTTCCCACAGGATTTTGGTAATCATCCTTCTCATATAATGGACTTAAGGCCCCAGCACACCCAACATGTCCTGCTTACTGCTAGATTCGTCAGGTCTGTAATTAATAATTGTGTTTAATGTTGATAAATAAAATTGTCAGTGCTCCTTCTACTAATTGGTATTCCAGATAACGGTTAATAGGTTTATTTATGCCTTAATAAAAGTCTTGTAATTTAGTTTTCCCTCTGCTAGGCAGGTCTTAATCTGTCATTACTTGTCTTATGATACTATCAGTGTAAGATGACAAGCATGGAGAAACTTATTTACATTCAGTAGTACACCAGATCTCCTGTTGCTGTAGTGAATTAAAATATTTTCTTTAAAGCGCAAGCAGAAAAAATAAGACAGCTTCTTTAAAACAAATAATTCTTCTTTATACTATAAGGATCAAATCAAAAGGTTCAAACAAATAGAACATGAAGACTTATAGAGCATTCTTTACAATGCGTACCAGAGCATTATCGAAATTATACAGGTAGAATCAACCATAAGTGAACAAAGAATATTATAGCACGTGATCAAATCAAAATACTCTTTGCATGATAACGCATCTACATTGCACCATATTCTGTCATATGTATTGTAGCAATTTGAAATGATGGTTTCATATACACACACAAAAAGAGATTGATTTTGTGTGCCACCAGACTGAATATGTAGACTTTTGATTTTGAAGATTAGCACAGAGATAAACTTTGCTTTTATGCTCCCCAAACTATCAAAGCATCACTGTGACATGTCATTCCATATTCTTTATGAAAATATGCTTATGATATGAATAGGACATAACTGAAATATAGTTTATGCAAGATGGCTCATGTGAGATATCATTGGAAAGGTTATGATTTACTGAATGCCAGTATCCAATTTGTATGCCGGTATCATTTCTGTATCTGAAGTTAGGAATATTGACTATGTATTTGTATTTCAACTATGCTACTTTGGGTGACGCCCACTGCTAACACTTCAGGTACAAAAATGGAAAAGCCAGACAGGGTGGATGGCCCATCAGCGAGGTCGATAGACTGTGAAAAGCTTGGCCTTCCTGTGGACTCTCCATACTGCCACTGACTCATGGACGCTGTGATCCTACAGAGTCAGGTGGTCTTGTCACCTGATACTAAAACATTACCTGGGACTTCTTGTAACTTTCCAATGTAAGGGAAGGGGGGCCAAGTTTGGGAAACAAAGGATTCCCACCTTATGCAAATCCTATTTAAGGGTGGGAAGGAAGGTAAACAGGACTCCTCCTCTCCCTGGACTGTCTGCCCAAGAAGAAAGACTGCAAAAAAGAAGGCAAGGGGGGAGTCCAGACTGAAACAGGGGTCTAGTTTGAAAAGGAATATAACTGGAACTCTGAACCACAGAAACTTTGCAAACTGCCTGCAACAATATCTAGGGTGAGAAATACTATTTGTAACCAATTTTTTTAGTGAAACTAGCTTAGTTTGTGTGTTTGATTTCATTTGCTTAGTAATCTGCTTTGTTCTGTTTGTTACCCCTTTTACCCCTTAAAATCTGCTTTTTATAGTTAAAAAAATTGTTTTGTTTATTATTAAACCCAGTTTCTGTAATTTCTAACTGGGGTGGGGGAGCGGAGGTAAGAAGTGTGTACACCTCTCTCCGCATTGAGGGAGGGGGCAAATTTCATAATATATCTTTGGGTCTGTACTCCAAAGAAGGTGGACATCTGAGTGCTGGAGCAAATCCCTGAAGCTGAGTCTTCCCAGAGCTGATCCGCAGCTGGGTGTGGCCCTGCCTGTGTGTATGTTAGAGTAGGTTTTAAGAGCCTGGCTCAGCAAGACAGGTTAAAGGGGGCCCATGTTAGCAGAACAAGTAGACTCAGTGGTACCTCAGCACATCAGGTGGCTTCCCAAGGAGTCCAACCCGTCACAATCGCTTCTAGTTAATTTTTAATGAATAATGGTTTTGACTAAAACACAGAAATGTTTTGGCGTGATTTACTGACTGCTTTGCAAGGCGAAATGAGAATACAGTGTAATTCCATAAGGTACTGTATTCTTCTATATCTATAACAAGTGGGAAAAGAACATATACACTTTAAGTACCTGGCCACAGACTATCAGGGAATTACAGTAAAAGCAATAAATATTTTATGTTGTGATGAGCATGTAAGAAATGGCTTACACAAATAAAGTTACAGTACAAAGAGCAATCAATTCTTTATTAAACAAATGAAGCAAAAGGCAATGAAAAGTGACAAACCTTCCTCTCGTGACAGGTGGAGGGAGAATTCTGTTTTATTTTGAGTGAAATAGAATGAAGGTAAAGAATAAACTGATTAATACTATAGAGGAACTAAAATATTCATATTAAGCTTCAGAAATTCAGTTTATGTTACAGCAGACAATATCTGTATTTGTTGCTTGATTCCTCTGAGTGCTAATGAAGTACAATTTGTATTAAAAAAACAAAAGAGAAAATGCACTTTACAGGCCTTTAAGTAAATCTAAAGATAAACCATTCCAACCCTATAGTGTTAAGGCTACATGAGTAAGGACAAATCTATTAGGAAAACAGGTTTTATAGAGAAATGTTTATAAAGGAAAAACTCCAAAATTCAAATTTAAAAATAAAACAAAAGCACACATCAATTTGCCTTCCTCCCCCCCCCACACACACACACAAAAACAAACTAAAAAGCACACCACCAAAAAATCTCAGTGTTGCTTGAAGGCTTTGGATTCAGTCCCTTTCCTTTACCTCAACCCCTCCCAAATGACTGCAATTCCCAATGTTACCATCTTTTTGACTTGTCCATACTTACAAGTTTCTTAAAGAGACCCTGCACATTTCTCCTGTTTCCTGTGTATGTTTGGCTGCTTCAATAAAGTTTTGAATACTTCTGACTTTCCCCTTTGCAGTGTACCCTGAAGTGTATTTGGAAGAGGAAACCCAGAAGTGCAGAAAGATGAGCCACTGCTATAAATAGGTTGACCACCTAGGAACTTTTGAAACTTTGAATCTAAGTGACTTAAGAGTCTTAAGCATTTAGGAGCATAAATCCCTTTGACTGTCAATGAGAATTAGGCTCATAGAGGCCTATGTTCTCTTTTCAAAATGAGAGTTAGGCTCTTAAGCTGTATCATTTAGGTGCTTTTAAAATGTTGCCTCTGATTTTAATTTATTTATTATTTTTACCAAGTCAAAGTTTCTTGAAGGGTTTCTTTCACTTAGATAAGATCAAAAGTCTGAGTCACACATGAGCAGCTAGATGTCAGGATACTCTGAGGGCAAATTAAGTAGACACATACGATGGGAATCAGAAAAGCTGTTGTGACCATGAGACCAAATATTTCCACATGGTTCTTTGCTGAGGCCTTCTCGTGCCTCTTTTATTCTGCCCATGAATTCTACAGTGTCTGACTCTTAAACAAAAAGGATTTCATCTAAACAATGGCTAGCAGGACTCCTATATATTCCAGGGATTTGAGTAGTATAAGAAAGTTAGTGATTTCAGCACCTCAATGCTAATATGACTTATCTTTGAAATCCTTTTTAAAGTACTGTCATTGATCAGCCAATTGTCCAGATACAGGAATGCATGCACTCCTGTGTAAACGGCTCCTATGCATTTTGACATACAGTGCAATCCAAAAGGCTTGAATTGGCAGTGTTGGGATGTGAATTTGAATTACTGGCTATCAGGATGATCTGGTGGACAGGGCCTAGAACTGGCAGTGAGGAGACTGGGTTCTGTTCCTGGCTCTCTGGAGCCCATTTGCTGTTTGATCTTGGGTATATCACGTCTCTACTCCTCAATTTTCTTTACTTTCTTGCAGTCCTGCTTCTTCACTTCTGATATATTTAATTTCTGTCAGAGAATATTTGTGACTGTAGGACTACCAGGGAGCAAAGAGCAATGAAGGAGCATAAGAATGTTGCAAAGAGTCTAATGCTTCCTTGCATATACAAAACATAATTAATTTGTGTAACTCCATGCCACAAAATATCAGTGAAGTCAAGAGTTTCCCAGGATTAAAAAAAGATTAAAACATACAGAGTACACTAAAAATGTTAAAATATAAGGGATACAGAAACCATCATGCTTTAGGTCATTAGCAAAATACTAACTTTCCAGGGTAAGTAAAAAACTTCCCTCGATGACAGGTGGGGAAATTCCAAAATTTTTCATTACAGGGATTTCTGTACCTTCCTCCAGAAGCAACTGGTGCTGTCCACTGTCAAAGACATGACACTGGATTACACAGACCCCTGGGCCAGACTTGCTATAGCAA